TGCACATGCAGACAATCACCCAAAAAGAATAAAGCAAATCCTCAGAAACTAGACTCTTGTTAATGACAGTCATACATTTTCACGGCTCCTGTTCTGTTTAGTCTTCTTAGCTCATTGTTGGAGAAGTGAAGTGAGGTCTAAATCATCTGGCATGTGACTTGCTTCCGATCACACAATTTGGTAGTACCTAAGATATTTCTAGAATCTATAAGCTCCCATGCCTTTGACGTAGACAGCTGAACAGTGGTCACTATGATTCTCAGTTGTTTGGTAGGTGTGCTTCATGAGAGTTCGCATGCACTTCCAAGGCTGGAAGCCAAGAGGAAAAGGTAAAGTAAGTTACACAAGAGCTGACACGATTGGATTACAATCTAGTCTGACTCCATTTAAGCCCCAATGGCTTCTTTATTGAAGCCCCTCTCTCCTTCCTGTTTGAGGGAGCAGCTTTGTTCTGTAGATCAGTTTAGCCTGCTCAAGAACCTAGTCCTCACTTTGCATAGAATAAAATGGAAAGGGGTGAAATAGATGTCTGTGTTTTCCTATTTAGTAGGTTCTGGTATGCTCTAGGCCTTGTACTAGGCACTTGCAGAAATGTTATAGCTGGTATCAAGTCAGGGAGACTTTCAGATGCCCCTCTCTACACATAAAAAAAAATTAAAACCAATTCTAATATCCCTAAAATCTACTTCTGAGTATTTCCACTTTCTCCTTGGCAACATTTTCCTTTAAGTTTGCCTTTGTAATATAAATCAAATCAACACTATCCAGTAGAGATAGTTTATTATGAGGGTACATTGGACTTGACCATGAACTATCTCTTTGAGTTTGGAAGCCACACAGGACAATTCCCACTAGGAGTTTGCTACTCCAGAAATAAATCCTTGGTATTTTATTACAAGCAATCATGTAAAATAAAACACAGATTATCAGTGCACACTCCATCAACTTATTTTCTTGGCTAGCACCATGGGTTCAAGGAAAGAATCACAGTGACTCTCAACGTGTACAGGATGTCCTGGGCTGAGACGCTCTCCAGTCAGATCATTTCTCGGTTTACTTCTGGCAGACTGCTTCCTATAACCTGGGATCCAGAGGTGATTTGGACTGACACATTGGAACCTGAACCCACATTTTTAGAGCAGTGAGAGTATGTCCTTTCTTACTCTTTGACAGCTAAATGGCATACAGGCAAAGCAGAGTGGGATGTGGCAAACTCCACTACAAACTTAGTCAGCCAGGCAGACCTTAGACACCCAACAACAGTCTTGTGTTTGCCCTAATTTTTCTTTGCTGGCTGAAGATTAAAGCTGGCATCTTGACTAATGATCTCCTAGTCGCCTTTGTGTTCATTGATAATTTTCGTACTTGAAAAGTGGGAGAAGTTAGACATAAAAAAAAATTCATCAGGATTACTGGGACAAAGGGGTATAGTGGAATCCTAGAAGGAAGTGGTGATGCATCTCCCCAAATAAATTGTTAGCTATTAATCCCTTGAGAGAGTGTCATCCATAAACTCTGTCCATCCTATTTTCTGCAGTCTTCCGTGGACTGTGTTAGGTTTAGTGATATAGATTTGGCACCCTTAATGTACACTTTCTCTCTGTCTAGTGCATTTACCATATGTGGTATCATGTGACTCTTTATTCATCCTGCATAGTGGAAAGTATTTGTGGTATATTTGATTTTCAAGTGATAAAAGTCCATTTTGGAACTTATTCTGGCTGAGTTCAGTACTTCACCCACCTGGGTCACTTGTTACCTATATGTATTTGATTTTGGAGTCCATAGTCTGTTCACCAGAGTTGTAGTCTCATGGCTGAAGTCCTACGTTAAATTATTTACTATGTGATGTTAGAACAGTTACTAAACCTCTCTAGGCGTCTATTTTCTCCTCTTTAGGATGGATGTATGAATAATACCTATAATAGTTCTTATGTTGTTTTGAAGATTATATATGAGAACCTGTGTAATGTGCTTAGCTTGGTGTTTGTCCCATAAGTAAGATTTTTTTATAAAGATTGAGCATAATTTGCCACACTCCCAATTAACCACTTCTCAGAAGGTGATGTTCAACAATATCGGGACAGGAAACAGCTTAAATCATGAACCATACAACTGGCATCATTGTCCACTGCCTTGTAATTGAGTTGCAATGAACAGTGGGATGGCTCTGACCTTAGACTGAGACAATTCTAGTCAACCTCAGACAGTGTGATAGTTGTCATAATTAGGGTTTCTATTGCTGTGAAGAGATTCGTGACCATGGCAACTCATTTAATGGAAAACATTGAATCGGGGCTGGCTTACAGTTCAGAGGTTTAGTCTGTCATCATCACAGTGGGAAGCATGACAGCATGCAGAAAGACATGGTGCTGGAAGAGCTGAGAGTTTTACATCTTGATCTGCTGACAACAAGGAGATACTGCGTTCCGCACTGGGCATAGCTTGAGCATATACAACCTCAAAACCTGGCCCCACACTGACTCACTTCTTTGAACAAGTCACACCTACTCCAACAAGACCATGCCTTCTAATAGAGCCACTCTTTATGGCCAACCATTCAAACACATGAATCTATGGGGGGCCATACTTATTCAATTCACAGAGGTCATGAGCAAATTCTTAAATCTCTTTTTGATTCTGTTTTTTCATTTAAAAAAAAAGTGAGACACAATAATAGAATCAGCTTCGTGATATTGGAGGGGAGGGTCTCGTGGGAGTTAAAAAAAAATAAGAACAGCACTTTGACAGTTTCCTGAAGACAAATCTTTATTTTCCCTGATATGTGAAATGTAGGAACAAAGACGTGAAAGCAAGTGGAAGACTATTAGCGTTGGGTATCTGGGAATGGAAAGGGGAGACTGAAAGGAGGAAAAAGCAAAAAAGAATACATAGATTCACAACCACTCAGACCTTGGCAGAGATTCCCTTAGTGTGGTGAACAGTGGTTAATGCGGAAACTCACAAACAGTAAAAGAACAGAGGGTAGGTATGAAGTGCCCACCCACAAACGGGGTTTCTGTACCACATCCCTGCCCCCAAAGTTCAGGGACCTCTGTGAAAGAGGGAACACAATGGTTGTAAGTGTCCGGGGTCTGGGAGCATTGGAGAGAGACAGTGTCTTTTGGACATGACAGGACCACTGCACTTGGAGTCACGGCAGCAATGGTTGCCTGTAGAAGATCAAGCCAGCCAATATTACAGTGTGGAGGGAGGGCAGGCTCATGAGTCCCTCCCCCTACTCCTGTAGCTGAGGAGCTATTGACAATTTCTAGCTTCTTGTGGAATGAGGCTTAGTTTTCTTTAAGGATGTGGACCCTGGTAAGTTGTCCGGAGTCCAGGAAACGGTCCCATACCTATGAATATATGGGAAGCACAAGTAGGGTCAGGGGCTTGCTAAAAACAAAACAACAACAAAACAGAGCTTGGGAGGCACTGGGTAGGTGAGGGGTGGATTCAAGAGGAGTTACAGGGAGAAATGAGGGGTGAATTAATAAAAATATTTTTTAAAAGATTGGGCAATCAAAGGACTTAATACGATCAAAATATATCACATATATGGGAATGTCAAAATGGATTACTTTGTGTAATTAATTACATAATGAATGATTTTATATAATTAATATATCCACAAAGAACAGCACTAGGCACATGCTATGGACTCAGTAGACCTTACAACTGTCACAAATGATGAAGGTGCCACCTGCTAAGTGCGTGTTTGCTCCTAGAGAGATGAGTACAGAGCCTTTCAAGTTAGAGTGTCATGAAATTTGGGGAAAAATTGAGGGCTTAATGTCTTCCCTTCATTTCCCACTTCCCCTACATGTATCCTAGCAAAGACCATGTCACATCCAGTGGCTTGGACGCCTCAGCCTTTAGAGGCCTCAAGACTTTCAGAGGTCAAACACTCTAACACCATGAGCTCTCAACAGAGGACGAGGAGTTCTGTGAATGCTCCACAGTCAGTCTGGGACAGACAGGAGTTACCCACTTCACTGGGTCATTTCTTTACCAAGCGGTAGTGACTTTATGTTGACAAATTGGGTTGGGAGTTTTAAGTGGAGTATCTAGTCCGTGTGAGGACTTCCCTGTCTTCTCTGACATCTAGAACTCCCTCATTGCACAAGCCTGGCTACACAAGGTCCTGGGCCAGCCAACACTTTAAGAGGACGATTGTTTTCCTTGGTGGGGCCGCACTCTGTGTCCCTCCACAGCATTAAGAGCTTGTTTCCTGGTGGGTCATGTTTTCTCTTCCCCATGACTTGCCTTTCTGGAACTGTGTTCCGATTTCCCTGCTGGCTCACTTGTTTCTTTGGGCTTACTGCCTTGTTTGGGAAGTTCGAAGCAAGAGCTCTGATAGATGCCAAGAGGTGAAAGGAAGGACCGGATGGATGCAGTCATTGGACACACAGACTCAGTGATGGATGAGCCTTCTCCTCAGGGGGGTTTGGGTCAGGAGCAGTCCAACTGATAAGTTTTTCCAGAACTGAGTAATTCAGAAACAATGCCAGGACAACCTTATCTCTCTCTCTCTCTCTCTCTCTCTCTCTCTCTCTCTCTCTCTCTCTCTCTCTCTCTCTCAAAGAGACTGATTAAAGAAAATGATTAGCTGCAACATGTCTGACTAAAGACAGCGACAGCAAGGATGGACTGGAACATGGAAAGCATAAATTACTTTAAGAAATAACCCAGGAGGACTGTGTGAGGAAGGAGGAAGTCTTTAAAAGGCCTTTATCCAAATATTTTCCTTCTTTTAAGTCTTGAAAAAGCTCAACATAATGATTTCTTCTTCCGAATGATATTGTGGCTGTTTATTGACGAAAAATGCCAAATGCTTGTTGTTGTTGTTGTTGTGTTTGTTGTTGTTTACTTGTTAGACGCTTGTTGAATCATGTCTGTATCAGTCTCCTCGGTGCTAAGGGACTCTAAGACAAAGCTACATCCTAAAGAGTTACGTTGGTGTCAGAGCAATTCCTGTGCAGAAGGGGGCTATGCTCTGCAATCTTCGTTATTCCCCCTTCTCAGATGTCCTTGAGTCCTTGAGACGGATGTGAGCAGAGTTTTTCAGCCCTCATGCAAAACAACCATCTAAACATAACAGATGACATCACCTTGGGCTTTTCAATTCCTGGATGGCAGCGGCGTGTTAATCCAGCCTTCATCCTGGATTTCATAAACTAAAACAAGAGAGGCTGGCAAGAGCACAGCGCTGCTGCTGGGTTGAGGAAATTGATGACGGGGAAGCATGCGGGCAACACAGTGTATAAAACTCATAAACGTGTAGGCAGAAGCTCAGCTACTACTTTGGACGGCTGCTTCCCGCCAGCATAGACCACGACGGCAGGGAGCTGAGCAGGAGCCAGCTGCGAGACATGAAGAGCCTCTTGCTGCTGACCACACTCCTGGTACCTCTGCACCTGGGCATGGCCTGGAGCGCCAAGTATGCGGTGGATTGCCCGGAGCATTGTGACAACACTGAGTGCAGAAGCAGCCTGCGTTGCAAGAGGACAGTGCTGGATGATTGTGGCTGCTGCCAGGTGTGCGCCGCGGGGCCTGGAGAAACCTGCTACCGTACAGTGTCAGGCATGGACGGGGTCAAGTGTGGTCCGGGGCTGAAGTGTCACTTTTACAGCGAGGAGGATGATTTTGGTGACGAGTTTGGTATCTGCAAAGGTAAAGAGCAACTCCTTGCTTCCCACTGTGCAGGGCTCCCAGAGGGTATTTAGTCAGCCTGGGGAGGTGCGTTCCTTCCTCTGAACTAGTTAGGGAGGATTCCTGGATGCAGGTGGTGTGTTTGATAGAGAGAAAAGGATATCTACAGGGAGGTTTGGAAAGCAGCGTGCAGGAATCACAAGGGCTGCAGCATCCCGTTCACTGCATGCATTCAGATTTGAGAAGGAAAGTTGCAGTGGTAGCTTGTATGCCTTCTTTTTCTGAGAGGCTTTAGAAACTTGACAGGTAGCCTGTTACAAATAGTTTAGGTGTCTGTTCCTCTGAAAGCTAATGATTACAGAGGTCCTCCTGAGATAACCTCTTAAAGCCCCCAGATTTCACCAGCCTTTGATCTTGAAAGAGTTCACCGGGGAGGAGTGCCTTACTCAGGCTCAAGTATTTCTGATGAACACTAATGTGCTTTATGGCATAAGGTGGGCTTAAGTCGGCCAACAGAATAACTCATGTTCTTGCAAGAGGGTCCCCTGAAGTATAAACTAAAACCTAGTTTTACTTTTAAAATGTTTCAGTTGGGCAGAAAGTAGCAGATGTTGTAAGACAAGCAGAAATAATAGTAACCTGAAAGTCTGTTTGTTTTTTCTTAAAAGGTGACTGTTTGATAGATTTAAAGAAAAGAAATGAAATGATAATTAAGACAGAAACCAGAGCTAAATGATGCTTTGATGTATTGGTGGAATTTATTTTCAAACCTAGTGACTAAATTAATATTTTTAAATGTACAAAAATAAAAGAGACGGTTATTTAAAAGTCTGCATACATACATGCCATTTAATCTCATCACAGTATGCCACTGTGATTAAAAGACAGTGTATCCATTCCTGCATCCAGTTGTAATACAAAGAAGCTGCCAAAATTGGAAAGCCCAGTTCTGAGAAATAACTCATACTTAATACAATTCCAACCTATCCTGGATGACATTCAGCTAGAATTAAGATAATCTCATTAATTCTCATTTTAGAAAACAGTTCACCAATTAGTCATTTTTTTAGTCTGCTAAACCCAGGGAAAGGCTCAGAAGTAAATTCTAGAAAAATTTTGGAGATTTTATTCTTTGCATAGATTAATTTTTGATTAAGACCAACAAGAGGTAATCTAGTAAGGAACTATTTTCTTTGCTGAACACACATACACATGTTTCTTTCAACTGAATAGGCTTTGTATTTTCTGGAAATTACAGGGTTTATCTGCCAAGAAAAAAAGCACCTCACATAAGGAAATTAGGGAGGAAGTGGTTAATGCAGTCCTGTCCTATGAAGCAGCGAGAGAGCTCATGTGGTGGAACTGATTTTCCTTTGGCATAAAAACACCTTTGTAAATGTGGTTATGAATGGACAGTGCACGGGGTAAAGCATCCAGCTGTGAGCCAGCGGTTAGTGAACTATGCCATTAAGAATCTATTTTGAATTGCTCTTTCTGGCTTTCTCTGCGTAGTTGGTGAGTTCAGTTCTGAACTGTTTTCTTGCTGCTGGAAATAATAGGGCGTGTTCACCTCTTTTGCAGCCCCATCCCCATGGCTGCAGGTGAATTCCCTCCTCCAGCCACATGAAGACTGTACATGTCGGCTTGTATATCCAGATGTGTGGGTTTCTCGGTTTGGTTGGATTTAACATTTAGATGCTTGATCCCGTGCTGCTTGCTAGCAAATCAGGCAGCCAGGACTTATCTATGGAATGTTCTGATCAGCACTCAGGATCATAGGGGTCACCTTGGACCTGTAACTGGGAGGTGGGCTACGATTTCCATTTTGAGCTTCTCTGAAGACAGTCACATCCTAACACTGTGCTCTTCTGCCAGAGTTTCACCAAATCTGTCTTAAGAACTTGTCTTCCCAGGGCAAGGGGGATGAATAACATCGGACTTCTCTATCATTTGAGTGACAGTGCTAGGTCTCCTTAAAGACTTACTTGATACACATTCGTCATGATCTTTTGGTGTACTGCAGGGTGGCTAAAACTCTGCTATGCCTCCCAACATGAGTGATTGTACAGTAGCAAAAGAATACATCTTCTACCAGTGATTCTCAACCTTCCTACTGCTGAGACCCTTTAATACGTACGGTTCCTCATGTTTGGGGTGATCCCCAACCATAAAATTATTTTTTTTGTTATGCCATAACCTTAATTTTGCTACTGTTATGAATTGTAATGTAAATATTTTTGGAGCTAGGGGGTGTTGCCAAAGCAGTTCTGACCCACAGGTTGAGAACCACTGTCCCATACAGATTCTGCTGAGTTACCCTACTGAGATACTGTTATGTCTCAAACTCAATCTTATAATAACTGACAGGCCTCTTTATTTCATTGCAGCATGTCTTAGTCTAAGTATTAAATCCTGATTATGAAGGAGTAAGCTCTGAGGGAGCTCCTCGCTGTTGGCAGGTGTGCAAGCCCTCAGGCGTGAACACCCTGAGGTTTCCTGCTCTCTTAGCATCTTTCTTTACAGAGAGCTCAATTAGTGAAACTCTTAGCAGCTGGGGAAGTTAGTGACGGCCTAGTGCTGTTCTGAGAGACAAGGAATTTTGCAGACTGGGGACTGGTGATTTCATGGTCAGGTGGGCCGCGAGGCCTCTTAGCTCTTTAAAACAGTAAACTGTCATCTACTATAGATGGATCACACACTTACACACATCGATCTAGTTGAGGAGGTAATGCTTATGTCTCTTTAATTTCCCATCTTCACTTACCTGTGCCCAAGAAAGCCTGTGAGAATCTGTGTCATCATCTGTGCAGAAAACAAACGGAATAAAGACTGGTCCAAGGGCAGGACTGGCAAGAAGCCTCGGTGGGGGAAGGCACCTGTTGTCACTCCTGGCAACTGAAATGTGAGCCCCAGAACTCACAGTGGAAGGAACCAATTCAGCATGTTGTGCTCTGGCTTCCACATGTGTGTTACACATAGACACACACACACACACACACACACACTGAAAAAATAAATAAGGAAAGAAAGAAAGGAAGGAAGGACAAAGAAAGAGAGGGAAGTTTTTTTTTTTAAAAAAGACTGGTCTAAGGAGATTTGTTATGTGTAGCTAACTTTACCTTAGAATCATGATCTTAATTAAGCCTGAGGCAGGTGTTATCTGGTCTTCCTATGTGGTTTTACATTTATGACTCCAACTTTCAACTTTCAATCCTTGGAGTTTGTGAGGAGTGATTTTCACTCACCAGTCAATGTCCAGGAGACTGATTCAAATCCTAAGGGTATCACCAGGGCGGAGAGGATGGGTGGGAGGATGGAGTCCTATGCTTAACAATTCTCTCTGCCTTCAGACTGTCCCTATGGCACGTTCGGGATGGAATGCAAAGAGACTTGCAATTGCCAGTCGGGCATATGTGACAGGGTGACTGGGAGATGTCTGGACTTTCCCTTCTTCCAGTATGAAGCAGCTAAGCCGCCCAGCAGGACCTCTGCCTCCCACACGGGTAAGCTAAGTGGTGACCTTGGTCTCAGTTTGAATCACTCTAAAGAGTATTCTACTCTCAGAGTAGAATATGATGCCGGTCTAAATGAGCCTGTCTTCCTCAGGAGAAAGACCGGCGGTCCTTGAGTTTGGTAGCTTTTGCTATTTTCAAAACAAAGCTCATTGATAATTCTGAGGATACTGTGGAGTCTCATAAAGTTTATAGTATTTTAATGAATTAACAAGGACAAATCTGCTGTTTCAAAAAGCATTCAACCAAGATAGGCAAAGTTCTTTGAACGATTTAGTGATCTGTTTTACGGACTCACTAGACAAAACTTTTTCTCTCCCAACTCCACACAGAAAGAGAACAGTGAGGTATTTGTTGGGTCAGCTTTAGGAGCCAGAATAGAAGATACGGAACATTTCTCCTCCTCCTGTCCCTCCTTCTCCTCCTTTTCCTCCCCTCCCCTCCTCCTCCCTCCTTCTCTTCATCAAATGGAAACAATGTAATGGGATAATTGTGGGTTTATGGAGTTTGGAGCTGGTAAGGATTAGTCCCTGTGGTGAGATCCAGGGAATAATAAAACTGTAGCAATGCTTACATGCGGGTGACAGGTCCGGGCTGTGTGGTTGTACACATAACCCTCCTTCATAACTAACAATCAAATAGAAAGACAGAGTTTATGATCATACAATTATAAGGAGTCCTGTGGAGAAAAAACTGTTCATTAATATCAATAAACGATACCTCCTCCAGATGGGAAGCTGTCACTCAAATTCATTTTATTTAGATTGTGCTTCTGCTCCTTTGCATCTTTGGATATTGTGCTTTTAAGTCAATTCATAGTTTTAAGTATGACTGTGGTCTTATACATCAAATTGTAACTTACTAGATGAATAGTTTCATGGACATTGAGTCTGGAAATTGGGACACTATGAACAGATTAAATCATGTGACCTATCTTTGTAGTTGTTGACAAAACAAAAGGTGGAGAATTTAAGACATGAATAGGTTTTATGTGAGTTTCATATAACACATGAACACAAGTCCCTTTAGGGTCATCAGCGCATCTAGTACATCCATTGCCTCTAGCTAGTTCTAGAACTTTCTGATTAGCCCAGGACTCACTGGTTTCCCTCTTCCTCACGGTCTTCCCAGTACCTGGAAACTATAAATGGAAACCATCTCTCTCTCTCTCTCTCTCTCTCTCTCTCTCTCTCTCTCTCTCTCTCTCTCTCTCTCTTTCTCTCTCTCTCCCTCCCTCCCTCTCTCAGATCTGGGAGTGCCCTGAAGCAATTGTTCACAAAAGAGATTTGAGATCTATTTTCTCAATTTGTCTTGCAGCCTCAAGCATTTTCAGCTTCCTTTATCCTTTCTTTTTCTTTTTAAAAATAGAGTCAGACATGCCACGCTGTAGTTTGTATCACTAATCTTTAGTTATGTATGAATGAGGTCTGGTTTCCAGCGTGCGCATACCATGAGAAGGTCAAGTCTTCTGTGAACAAGGCTTTTTGAGCTACACGATTTGTATATATGTTCATACTGATAACTAAACCTAAATCCTAAAGTCAAAGAAAAAGTAAAAATAAATAAAAAAATAAAAATGGAGTCAAAGAGTCTCACTATGTAACCTTAGTTGTCCTGGAACTTACTGTGTAGAGCAGGCTGGACTCAAACTCACAGCAATATATGTCTCTCCCTTCTGACTTAGACATGTGCCATCACTTCCAACACTTGTTTTGCTCTCTTAAGACCGTGGTTAAAAAGAGCTATGAAGAAATATCCTTTGAACCTCCTGTCATTGAAGTTTCCACCTAAGTATTTTGGAAGGGCAGCATTTAACTGTACTGCACATCTTTGTTGGCTTTGTTTTGGTTGGTTGATTTTTGTGGTCTTAGAGACCAAGGCCAAGGCATTGTGTACACTGGATGAGTGCTCTACTATCAAACTACATCTCTGTCACATCATTGTGACCCTTTGATGGTACCTGGGATGGAATGTCTGAGAGGATGATGGCTGCTTGCAACTGTCTCCCTGATGGGGACTCTTGATTGACATACCTAAGTCCCTCCTGCTATGACCCATGGACAATGCAGCCTCATTCATACCAGTTTGCCATTCTGTTTAGTTTGCTTGCAAGTGATGCTGATGTCTTGGCTACTGTATAAAAATTCTAGAAGGCTAAGTATTACTGGATGGTCATTATATCCCAAGCTACACAAAAAATATTTATATTGAAAGTAGGAATGGAGATTCTTACTAGAAATGTAAGAGGAAATTGGTTGACTTTCTTTTCTTTTGAATCCATATTTAAAAATCTTTTATTCAGGCAATCTTAGTGAACCTCAGGTTCTCAAGAGAGGGAAGAATGTCTGAAAAATATGAACAGGCTACCCTGTTTGGCTGTGTCTTGTCTACCTAGCATTCGCCTCTGTATGCCAGAGTCTACAGGGAAGAGCATGGCTCCTCAGTCTTGCCACAGGCTTCACAGGAGCATCTCACAAACCCATCTGAGACCACCCTTTGAGAACAGATTAAATACCTCCCAGTCCACCATCCTAGGTTCTCCCAACTGCATAGGATCCTCTTCAAATTGCTACCTGCTGCTAGCTGTTGTTTTCTTGGGATTCCTGATCCTATCCATCTCAGTTTTAAATGTTATTCCTTCTTTGGCAGCCAGTGTCCAAGAATGGAAATGCACGAGTCCCATTTTCTCAAGCTAGGAATGCCCCATATCCATTTGTCTGCCTCGACCACACTAACCTTGCTCCATTGTATTTCATGATGTGCACTGTGAACACAAGTATGTCTGACTCCTCTTAGGAGAAGATTTCACTCTAAAATCAACATTCTGAATCTTATAAGCCTTTCCCATATGAAGAACAAGATCTAACCTTTAGAAAAGATAGCTGCCTTCTGGAGCGATACCAAGAAGTGAATTCATCTTTCACGAATTTAATATACAATTCTTTTCAGAGATCTCCTTTTTCAGCATCTGATCATTTACTGAGTATGTGTTGAGCACCTATCATCTTCCAAACGTTGTTGTCCATGCTGAGGAATTAAGAAAGCAAGTGGAAGAGTCAGCAAATGAAAGAAGTCCTGCTTTTATTAAGCTGGAATTTTAGGGATGGAGTGAGATAACGTCCGGGAGGGGTGGGCTTCATGTGGACCATAAGGGGACGCGATGGTAGATGAACACAGAGAAATGATGTGAGGGCGTTATCCTGGCTGGAAGAGTGGCTCAGAGCTGTTCAGTCACGTGAACAGAAGATTTTGAGTCAAAGATTTATTTTAAATTCAACCAAAGGACAAAACCACAATAAAACAAATCCACACTTGATCTTTAACTTACGGATGTTTGGGCATGATTTGTGTGCCTTCTAATTTCAGAGCGTGACGCGGCATCTGGAGATGGCAATGCTGTGAGAGAAGAGATTGGAGAAGGGAATGCTGCCCGGCCCTCTGTGATGAAGTGGTTGAATCCACGCTGAGCCTGGCTGAATTTGCCAAGAAAAGGCTCCCCTTTAGTGACCAACGTTCAGCCAACATTTTAAGAACCGTCTAGAACATAGACTGTGGACATGTAATTTATGGAGATCAAGTGTGATTCAGCAAAAAAAAAAAAATGTAGGCTATATACAACCCATAAAACACATATGAGTGAACACTTTTAGAGATTTGTTAAATATTTAAATTTATATAGATCTGTTAAGTGTATGTATGTGTGTATGTGAGTGTGTGTATGAGTGTGTGTGTGTGTGAGTGTGTGTGCTCTTGTGTGGAATCACCAAGGAACTTGATATGCAGTTGAGTAATTACTGTCTATGAGTAATCCAATCAAAGCTGAAGGAACTGTGGGTTCGTTTGACTTGGGTGCACATTCTTATTGAGATACATGTTGAAGAGGAGTTAGAAGTAAGAGATGCTGGGGGTGGTCGTGAAAGTAGGGGTTATAATATTTGGCTCCTCCTCATAGTAGCTTAAAATTTATTATTTTGTTTTAATTGGAGGAAATAAAACAAGACCAGAAAAGCCTTGAAGGAACTGAGATATTGGAAGCTTTTGGGTGTCTAAACAACTGCTTTGAATGGAAATGCTATTATTACAGCTACTTGTATCCGATGGGAGTAGGGGCAGGTAGGGGAGGTGAACAGAGGGATGAATGAATATGTATATGTATATGTATATGTATATGTATTTCCATTGTTTCCCATCACCAGTTTAAACACTGTGCGCCTTGAGACAGTTCTAGGAATTAGTTTGCCTCCTGAGGGACAGAACAGGGTGAAGGTGAATATTTATGTATTTTTATAAACAAATCTCATACTTTAAATGTTTCTCCAGCACCCATATGTCTCTCCATCTTAGAGAAATTACCCGAATGTTGTTTGTTTAACATGGGTTCTCAAACACTCACATATGGAAAATGTGTTATTAACAATTGCACTAATAGTAATAAAAATGTACTTACTCTAGGTTTATAAAATGTTGAAAAAATTTAAAAATGCTATATCTCCAGTGAATTTTAAATTTAAATCAGGAAATACCTTTTTAGACAGTTTGAGACAGGAAAGTTAATTTTCATTAGGAAATGAGTCAGCTTTAGGGTATAGTTTATTTTCATTTTTATTCTTTCAAACTTGATTGATGAATGGAACTGGGATTCCACCCAGAGTACCTTAGCACACGAAGAACTGTTGTACTGCCGAAGCTGGGAGGTATTTGCAGAGTATTTTATTTGGAATGAAGAACTTATTTAAGAAGTATTTCCTTATTTACTTTTAGTTTATTCTCAAACTTTGCCAGCAGAGTTGTGAATGTACTTGTGGGAGGATCCTTGAATGTAAGCACAACCAGCTGTTAGGTTTTGTTTGAAAAAACAGTGTATTATTGTTCAATAAAAATGACACAACTGTTCTATGCTGACTGGTCTTCTTTTAAATTTTACTCTATCAATAGGAGAGCTAACTCACATTAGAGGACAAGTCCTTTGACTGAATTTTATGCTGCAGATGCATTTCTGTACTAACACGAGGGACCCTCCTGAAAAGTGGGTATATATATATATATATATGTATATATATATATATATATATACATATATATATATATATACATACATTTTTTCTTTTATTGGATATTTTCCTTATTTACATTTCAAATGTTATCCCCTTTCCAGATCTCCCCTCTGGAAACCTCCTATTCCATCCCCCTCCTCCTGCCTCTATGAGGGTGCCCCCACCCACCCACTCCTGCCTTCCTGCCCTGGCATTCTCCTACACAGGGGCATTGAACCCCCACAGACCAAAGGGCTGCTCCTCCCACTGATGTCCAACAAGGCCATCCCCTGCCACATACGGGGTCAGAGTCATGGGTCCCTCCATGTGTACTCTTTGGTTGGTGGTCCACTCCCCGGGAGTTCCAGGGAGTCTGGCTGGTTGACACTGTTGCTCCCCACATGGGGCTACAAACCCCTTCAACTCCTTCAGTCCCTTCTCCAACTCCTTCATCAGGGACCCCACACTCAGTCCAATGGTTGGCTATATGCAGATATTTTTATAGTTTTATTCATCTCTTTTTTTTCCTCTTAAACTTATGTTTTTCTGTCTGTCTCCCTTTTAATTCAAGATAAACAAAATCCACATTTTGGTATGATAAGTTAGCTATATAATATGTAGTGTATGATGTAGAATATAGCTATACCAGTATTATCAAGGTTGTTAAGTGATGATTCTTTCACTATTGTTGATAATAATAGATAGCCTTGTTTTGTTTTTTGTTCCTTCTTGGAAGGTAGAAAATTTTCCATGAAACAGCCACTACAGCTGGTTCTATGTTCACTGAGAAAATCCCAAATAATTGTCCCATTTGTTTGTTAACTGACTGAAGGTCATTCATATGTCTGCTGGTGTTCTTACTTATAATTAACTTAGTGTTTTATTTTCATTTATTTCCCAATGTTTTCCAAAGTAGTCGTGCCTTTTAAAATGAGGACAAAGGCAGAGCTTTCTGTACCTGTACTGGCTGGTTTTGTGTGTCAACTTGACAAAAACTGGAGTTATCACAGAAAAAGGAGTCTCCCTTGAGGAAATGCCTCTATGAGATCCAGCTGTAAGGCGTTTTCTCAATTAGTGATCAAGGGTGGGAGGGCCCACTATGGGTGGTGCCATCCCTGGGCTAGTAGTCTTAGGTTCTATAAGAAAGCAAGCTGAGCAAGCCAGGGGAAGCAAGCCAGTAAGTAACATCCCTCTATGGCCTCTGCATCAGCTCCTGCTTCCTGACCTGCTTGAGTTCCAGTCCTGACTTCCTTTGGTGATGAACAGCAATGTGGAAGTATAAGCTGAATAAACCCTTTCCTCCCCAACTTGCTTCTTTGTCATGACGTTTGTGCAGGAATACAAACCCTGACTATGACAGTACTCCTGGAAGAAGAAAGAAACCTCCACTCTGAAGGTTGTGAGGATCGCACCCGAGAATGGCACGGAAGACTCAGCCTTGCATTACAGAAGCATTTGAAGTCTGCTGATTCGTTAGAACGGAGATATATGTATATTTTAAAGATCCAACTTATCTGAGTTTTTCTAAGTAGTGGAAATTAGATGTCAGTTAGAAACAAAGTTACATTTTAAAAAGATATTTTTAGTCTTACTAAGTTTACATTTAAAAAGTGAAAACCTATGCTGTCTCCCCTGTCAGCAAAGTTCCACAATACTCCCTTAGGGAGTGAAGTGACTCAGGCGACTTTCAGCTTGAAATCTAAACCTGGAGTTGAGAACCTTCAGTGTGACCAGAGAAAATAAAATCAAGTAAGAATGGATTTGTCAACTCTATCTTCAGCCACAATTACAAAGGTCCCAGAGTCATGACCTTTACCCCCTATGCTAGAATTCATGAACCCTAAGTTGCTCTGTAATCTTTTGACTAGTTCTGATAGAAGGGTTTCTGAAATCTTCGGATTCATGGAATCCAGGCCTTACCTCCCAGACCCTGAGATCCTTGCCAGTGCAAGCAATAACTTTAGGACAGTGCTGTTGTTAGCCTGACTAGATTATCACTTCTAATAAGAGGCAATTTGGGAAGGTTTCTGTTTCTGCTCTGTTTTATTCTTCCTTTTAGATAGCCATGTAGATGGTGGTAGCGGATCCACAAATGCAATCCAATGGCACATAGCTACCTCCTTTTTAGTCACCCTAATCATTTACCTAATACCCCACTTAAAAAGGGTGTATTACATAAAGAACCACTCTTCCTGGCAAGGTATACCCAAATTAAAAATCTGTAGAGCTTTTTTTTTTTTTGCTTGTTTGGTTTACTATTTTTAAAAAGAGAATTTTAAAATCTGTAGAGATTTTTTTTGTTTGTTTGTTTGGTTTACTATTTTTAAAAAGAGGGTGAAACGTCCAAGTAATTTTAAGCATAGAGTAATGACTCTCAAAAGCTAGCATCTCTGGAATCTTCTGGGGCCTTCAGTAGACCACATGTTGCTGATTCAGTAGGATTTAAGGTATGGCCCATTTCAATCACTTAGGTAATTCAAAATTCTAGAAACTGTAGTTTGAGAATGGCTGAGATAGGAACATTTAGATGCTTAGAAATGAAATAAATTATAACTCAAGCCAATCATGAATTGGTCACTATTTTCTAAGCAGTTGGTATACCTAATTGTTGTGTTTTGTTTCCTAAGCAGGGTCTCACTACGCAGCTCTGCCTGTCCTGGGACTCTCTATGTTGACTAGGCTGGCCTTCAACCCACAGAGATCCTCCTGCCTCTGCCTCTCACATGCTGAGACTAAAAGCATGCATGAACCACTCCTCCTGGCAAGGTATGCCCAATTTTAAAACCTGTGGAGTGTTTTGTTTGTTTGGTTTACTGTTTTTTAAAAGGGGGTAAAAAATGTCCAAGTAATTTTAAACTTTAGGGGTTTAAAGAGGCTAAGGCAGGAGGATCTCAAGTTTGAGCAATGTCTCCGAAAGTAAACAAGCAGATGATAAGAAAGATGCTTGGGGCCTTTGTAAGAACAGAAGGAGATAATCAAAGAGGATGTAGGAGGAAGGCGAAGACTCAGGAAGCTGTAAGATGATATATTCTTATGGAAAGAAAGACATTGGGGAAGAATGACCAGTCATGTGATATGTCCCCCATAGAAACAGCTGAACTGAAATGGTCTCAGGGAATTGGAGGAGAGGTGATGGAGGCCTGTCTGAATGGTGTGAAAGCTGTCTGGGAAGGTTGGAAGGCAATAAGCCAAGTGGCAAGATGGCCACTTAGTAGCAGTTTGTTTCTTTCTGTCCTCCCCACTCAGTAAGTGAGAGCTGACATTTGACGTGCAGGATTATCAGTGAGAAATGACGGTAAACATAGATGGTGATTTCAATGAGACAATTCAGTGGAGTCTGCTGAAGGGTACCACTAATGAGCTGAAGGTGGTGGTGCACAGCTGTTATCATGGCCCTTGGTGGGCTAAGTCAGGAGGATGGTCACAAGTTTGAGGTTGGTAAGAGCTACAGAGTAACACTCTATCTAAAGCAAGCAAGCAAGCAAACAAACAAAGAGAAGCCAAGAGTCTTGCTGTTGTATACTTGTTGACAACGTTCATATTATCATGTCATATAGTAACCCTAAACGTTGTGCAAAAATACGTGCATGGATCAGTCAAGAAACCAGTGATGTTTGTTTTATTCTTTGTATCTTTATGTATTTTCTAAAATAGTCTACAGGTAGTTTTTTTTAAAAAAATGGGAAAAAGAATAAGATTATCTCTACTTTTGATTATTAAGATTTGATCCTTCAAGAGTTTTTTAGATGTATTTAATCATCTGGGCACTGGACTATGAAAACTTCAAGCAAAATGAATGAAGGCGTTCACAGTTCACATAAAGACATCTGCATACCCTATAGCTTTCTGTGGGAGCAGATATTGTGTCAACAGAAGCATGCTTGGGGCTCCTCAGAAAGCGCAAATAAAGGTCTTTGGACCAAAGTGCACTTTTAAAATGACAGTCCACCTTCTGTACCTATGCTATCTGCTTCAAGCAGGTGGCTCGGGCCAGCAGGGTTTTTAAAGTATTTCCTGACACCTGTGGAATTGGTAAATATTTCCTGTTTTTGTTGTGTCTAGGAAAAACAGGAATTAACAACTTGGAAGTGCCCATCAAACACCCATTGTGAATGACCTCTAAGTGGGCAGTGTTCAGTGTGAGAAGACACTCAATTTCTTAAATTCTATTCCAATGATTTCTCTTGGAGAAAAGTCACTGTTTAGAATAATCCATCGAACTGAATGGCAGAAGAAGCGTTATCCACAGGAGAGTGGCACCTGTCGGTGTATGGGATTTACCTAGAAAGCCAGCTGTAATTGTGACTGATGGAGCCAGCAAGCAATGAGCATCCTGCCGGTAGCTCTGCACTAACTACATAGTTAACACATTTTAAAGAAGATAATTGACATCTGAAAGTGCTTCAGGAGGGCAAGACAGGTTGGAAGCTTTGCATCAGAGTGAGTCAGGGCTATAATCCTCTGTGACACTTGGTGACCTCAGGCTGTTCAGCCTTCATTCCCTCCATGTCCTCTGTGCGAGGTGTGGACAATGACTTGTTACAGTAACCTCTACACACGCTCTATACCCACCACCGCGCCTGCCCTACAGCAAACCCCAGATGGGATGGGCATTTGTGTCACTATCAAAGCCAACTTCATTATTTCCTTTAAGTTCAATTTATTCATTGCTGCAAGACTGAAACATTTAAAGTGTCCCATACATTTCACTTACAATAAATAGAAAACTGACTTCAGAACAAAATTAAAGCCAACCATTAAAGGTGAATAGCCCCGAGTCGAAATTCAGTTAACATCATTAGAAGCGCTCACAGTTCTACAAAGGGGTGACTATTTTTAAAGACAAATAATAGTGTTTTATTT